TATCTGAATTAGTCCTGATGCATGCTCAGTGATCCAGATAGAAAAATCTAACAAGGCTAAGTCTGGTCATCTGAACGGAGACTTCTTCATTCAACAAAGAAGAATCCGTCCAGATGACCAGACTTGTTTGATATATGGAATTAGCTGAGCTAAATTATATTTCGATAACTTTAAGTCCGCTAATAAAATTCACAATTTGTTCCTGTCTGTTGTGGGTGTCTCTCGAAGAGTCTATTAGGTATGCTATGTTTCATTACGTGTACACGTGACAGGACGTCCTGCTTCAGCTGGAAGGAGACAAAGATGTGTGACGCAGACCGAGTGACAGTTGTCTTAGTGGTTAGCAGTTTAGCAATAGTTTTCACTTTTTTTTTAACCCGTTTAGTGTTTTGTTGTTAGCAAAGCTAATTTTTTGTTAGCTGTGCTCACCACGGGTCAGATACATTAGGTGTGGTGCTAATGTGAGAGCCATTTCTGCATTCTCCTCTCTGTCAACTTGCTCAGGTTCAAATAAAAGAGCTGAACGTCGAATAACGTCCATAATTAATATTCAAGCTGAATGGAGCTTGCACCGACGTAACCTGTTAACACAATTTACCCACAACGCATTGCAACATTAATTAAATGACTATGTCTGTGTGTCAATACTTTTTAAACAATTATAAAAACTAAATAGCCTACAGTATTTTTCAGCCTTGTTTTTATAGCGGAAGTAATTGTTCATCAAATAAGGTCTATTGTTCCAGCTAGTCAAAGATCCCTTTAAAAGTTCCCTCTTAAATTCTATGGAAGCATCAACAGTGGATTCACATAACATTTCTATTTTGTCCTTGTTTTTTGTTTAATAAACAATGACATGCTGTCACCTGGTGCATTTTTTGTTCACTTGAGGATAGATTGCTACGACTGAGTATTAGGGCCATGTTAATAAAAAATAATAATAATACATTATGAGAAAAAAGTCATAAAATTACGAGAATAAAGTCATAGTGTTATGAGAATAAAGTCATAGTATTATGAGAATAAAGTCATAGTATTATGAGAATAAAGTTGTACGAGAATAAAGTTGAAATAATATGAGAATAAAGTTGTAGTAGTACGAGAATAAACTTGTAATATTATCAGAATAAATTTGTAATATTACCAGAACTCCGACACAAAAAAGTAGTCTTACAACTGCGGTAAAATGATGAATGTTGAGCAACTTGTTGTTATACTTTGGTATTGGTTTTACATATAAGGAAATACTTAATTAGCACATCAGCATTAGATTATTATCAGTATCAGGACTTTGAAACGATTGTAAAAATTACTGTCTGTTTCTAAGAAAGTCGAAGCTGTTTTTCTAATTGAAAACAAATTTATTCCAGTAATTTTTTTTTTCTTTTGGCTTCTCCCTTCTTCAGGGGTCATCACAGCGAACTGAGTCTCACAAAGACTTGGCAATTGTTTTTACGCTGGATGCCCTTCCTGATGCAACCACAGACCACCTAGCTACCACAGCCCTCTGTGCGGAGCAGAGAGCTGCTATCTAGGGCACCCGGGGGAGCAGATGGTGGGGGTTAAGGGCTTTGCTCAAGGGCCCAGAGGGGGACGAATGAGGGTGGAGACAGGTGTGGGTGCTTTACCAATCCCACCCACATTTTGATGTTGGCTGTACCAGGAGTTGAACTAGCAATCTTCCAATCACAGGCTCACCTTCTCTGTCCTCTGTGCCATCACTCCCACTTCCGGTAATACGACAAGTTTATTCTTGTATTATTTCAACATTATTTTCGTACAACATTATTTTCGTACAACTTTATTCTCGTAATATTATGACTTTATTGTTGTAAGACTTTATTCTTTTTTATGCCCCGATCTGTAAAGTCTATACAGTAAAGAACTGTAAGAAACACTCTTGTGACTTTAGATTGTCTAAAACATAAATGTGTTGACTCTGAGCTTCAGATAAACAAGAGCAATGTACACAAATATACCCAGATTTAAATTAGGTGCTATCTATCCACACTGGTTTCTTGTAGACGATTGTTCATAATAGCCAAGGCCCCCACCCCACCAGAGAAACCGTTCTGATGTCCATAGCTCTGTCGTGGGCCCTGGTGGGCCGTTTCACTCAGCTGCTTCTGCAGCAGAGCCAGAGACACCTTATTGGAGACCATTAACTCATTGACAGAGATCAACTCTTCTGACAGACGGCGGCCATCGTACACTTCAGCTGCCGCCCCAGCATCTGTCTCACTGTCACACACGGTCTCCACGGAGCCGCCTGTGTACCGGTGTCTGCCTGTAGGGCAGTGGGATGAAATAGGCTGCACCGCATTGCGTTTCATACGTTTTGGCCTCAGGAATGTAGTCAGACGCCTCTGGTTGTGGCTCTTGCTCTGAAGGCAGGGGCAGCAGAGCCACCAGCAGCCTGATTTGGAGCAGGAACAGAGCTGATGTTGCTTCGAGCAGACCAGCTTACCCAGGATCCAGTTAAGAGTTTGCTTGATGACAATAGAAATGACATTAAAAAGTGAGTAGATGCAGCACACTCCCATGAGGATAAAAAGACAGTTCCCGAACCGGTAGGCCCCTTGAGATTCATACTGATCTCGTTGGCTGCTCACCAGGTCCCCAAAACCGATGGTGCTGAAGGCCACGAAGCAGAAGTATAGAGAGTCCACATAGCTCCAGTTCTCCATGGAGCTGTACAGGGTGGAGGCGCTGCATGCAATCACAACAGATGCCACTCCTAAGATCAACATCACATAATAGACTGATGGTTTCCAGCCTTCCAGGCTGTCCTCCTCCCCAGATGGCTCCTCTCTGCTGGACGTCGCCCTCACTCCACCACATCTCAGCCGACGCTCGTGGCACCAGCGCATGATGTAAGCTAGCATTGTGATGATCCTTTCCAGGAAGAGGTTAAAGAAGAGGATGGTGGCAGCACAGCCAATGAGACCATAGAAGATTAGAAAGGTTTTCCCTGCTATAGTTGCTGGTGTGGTCATGCCAAAACCTGGAGAAAACCAACAAAGGATGTAAGGTCAACAAGGTTCACAGTAATGAAGTTGTGTGTACGTTTTCAAAAACGAGCACCTACCAATAGTAGAAACCACAGTCCCCACGAAGTAGAAAGCTCCAGAAAAGTCCCAACGTGGCCTCAACGCGTCCACTCTGATCCCCGCTCCGTTCGCCTCCTCGTACTGCCGCAGCAGGGTGTGCAGGGCGCCCAGGTTGACCCTGTACCGCCTGGTGAAGTTGTTCAGCCGCTGCTTCCAGAGGAGGCGGGCCCGGAGCTCGGAGGGGTGTTCCAGTGCCGAGAAGATGGCAGCACCACACAGCAAGTAGAGAAGGATGAGGCCGGCCAGCAGGCAGAAACGAGCGTTGTCTTCGTTCATGGGTGTTCTGTGGCAGCAGCAGCCGCCGGCAGCCCTCCTCCGAGCCATGAGCACAGCCCAGTGACACGGCTTCAAAACCATGCACCTGCACCGCCAGCGCTGCCAATTACACTTACTCTATATGATTCATGCGCTACCCACCACACAAAACGCATGCTTCTTACACACACAGTGAGGCATGTGGCAGAGCAAACATGTGGAGGAAATCACAGAGAAGAGCTGACGTTGTGCGAGTCTGCAACAAAATCAAAAAGATAAGCAGAAGTTTCAGGTTTGGGTCAAATTCAAACACATTTTGTTTTACAAAAAGCTGATGGAGAACATGCCAAACTTTGGCTGAATATGTTCATCATAAAGTCGACGCGAACAAAAACAAAAGTAGGATGTGCAACCCATATTACCTGGCCGCTGACGGTCCACTCCCCGAGCGCTGCTGGTTTCTCTGAGCTCATTTCAGGATCTGCTGAACGATGACGAGAGGAAGCCTCTTGTGTTTTGCGTGTGTGCTATGCATGTGTGTAAACTGAGAGTCTTTCTGATGTTTCATCCATCGCACGCTGACATCAGCCTCCTCCTCTCTTGAGCGTGCCCTGATTGGTGCCGTCATCTCTTTAGTGAAACATCACCTATCTTTGTTTTCGCCCATTCGTCACGTCTCAAACCAATTTTGTCAGAAATTGCCACATGTGATTAAAGTAACAGGCAGTCAAATCAGCTTTTGCATCTATTAAGCACGAGCCAATGTTGTTGGGGTTTTTTATTTCCCTGATTAAGTACAATTAAGTGAAACTAATGTTTATCAAACACAGAAATGGTGTAGTAATACGAACAGACGCTCAACAGTTTAGCCAAATATATTTCCACTGTTTGTCTTTATCATCTCTGAGGGGCAGTTTCAGAGCCACCGAGAGCTTTTTGTTGTTCCTGCAGACTGTGTGGGAGGATTTACTGAGGGTGACTGTCAGTTTTTCTGTCTGTTCGTCCCTTTAATCTTGTCTGGAGCTCCAGGTAAGGGCACAGGTTCGCCTGGCAGGCCGACCGAGCGGCAGGCAGGTGTGGACGAGTCACAGCCCCATCTGCTTTGACATGCAGAAGCCTGCATTTACACAACGCTTGATGTTGCTTTTTTTGATGTTTAAACTGTAAAAGACATAAAAACTCTTAAGTCATTAGTTATATTGATGTTTAATGATGCATATCAGCAAAGCAATATACACATTTTGATGCAATTTTTGGACCAATTTGTGCAATAGTTTTATAAATGTTCTTGTCTAAGTCATGGGTAAAATAGTTCCCCAGTTATTGTTTAACTATTCACCTGTCGTGTTTTGTTGCATTGCAACCTGAAATTTTAAGGATTTTTTTTCTTCTTAGTTTAAATTAAATGCAGATAAATAAGTGTCTAATGTCGCATCAGTGTTTCATCACATTTTGGTTAGACACCAGTTAAGAGTCTTTACACGCTCACTGATTAGCAGGACCAGTGGCGATTTCAGCCTCTTTTTGTGGGTGCTCAAGCACCCAATTTCTCTCATGTGCACACAACCCCTGCATGCTGATCGAAATTTTTGTAATTTCAACAACTTGTGATGGCCTCTTCTTGAAAAGAAATTAAAGCACATTAATTTGATTTTGTGTTATTTGTGTAAATTCTGATGTTTGGTGGGTAATAGAAGTATTAATTTTAATAAACATAATATGTACGAGCCTCCTATTGGATAATTACTGCATGGGCGATTATCTTTCAGCTGGCAACAAGTTATTTAACTCCAACTGGTGCAATGAGTTGTTTCTCATTTCTTAAACAACCATGTCGAAAGACACATTGCGTGGCCGTGGGAAAAAAAAACTTAGCTGATTCAGTTGGACATCCGGGTTGTTGATAATTAACAGTCCAGAGTGCCTGGGACTTTAACATGAAGCTTCTGAGGAAGAGACAATAAGGACATAAGGACATAAAAGGACAGAAAATGATAGTTTTGTGCATAATTATTAATCTCAGAATGCTCTGCAGTACAGTGAGGAATGATAAAAGATGTTTTGCTGTTAATTTACCAGGTAGATCAGCAGTGGTTGCAGACACAGATGAGACAGTGGGCACAGAGGATGAAGGTGCCAGACTGAGCTCTGCAGAGGATGGAGCTGGACCTAAGATGAATACAACAGCATAAAGACAGTCATAATAACAATACTTTATTTATGAAGCCCTTTAAAACAACCACAGCTGTGACAGAGTGCTGTACACATAAAATCAAGAAAATTTAAACACATAAAAATAAAACAGTTGTTAAAACATTAAGATCAATAATGTTGATCTTAATGTGTTTAAGGTCAACACATTGATCCTAAACACCGTGACAATAAAAACGGTGCATATTCAGTCTGTGCTAAAAGCCAGAGAGTAAAAATGTGTTTTTAAAAGTTTTAAAAAAGGACATTGAAGGGGCTCGTCTGATGGGAAGAGGGAGATCGTTCCACAGTCTTGGAGCGGCAACAGAAAAAGCTCTGTCTCCTCTGAGCCTCCGTTTGGACCTCGGCACCTGCAGTAGCATTTGATCAGCTGATCTGAGGCACCGAGCAGGAGAGCATGGGTGAAGCAGCTCAGAGAGGTAGGATGAGGCAAGACCATTTAAACTTTTAAAAACAAATAAAAGAATCATGAACTGTAAAATGAACAGGCAGCCAGTGGCATGAAGCCAGAGTGGGGCTGTAAATGACCTTTCTAATGGTTTCTTTGTCATAAATTGATTCATAAGTGTTTATTACTCCGTTGTATCAATGACACAGCTAAGGCTTTTATTTTGAAGGGCACAGAATGACAACATGTCGTAAATGAAGTGTTGCAAACCATACCATAGATGTGTTTATATCTATGTTGCAAACTGTGCAGGCGCAAACCACAGGCGCAAACATGGTTAAAAGGAAAACGTGCATTATTAAGGAGTTATTTTAAGCTGCAAACGGTGTCTTAGTACCTGGTTGATGAGGGAACAAGGTTGGTATTGGAGTTTTGTTGGTTAAATGTACTTGTAATTATATTTCACAGAGTACTGTATACACGTTGCTACCAAGTGTATCGGTTGCGTTTTGCCCACTAGATGGCGCTCATGTCCTTTAGTAATTTAGTCATGCTTAGTAATGCAAAGGTTTGCAAGCTTCAATATTGTATGTTATATAAATCACAGAAAGTTGCAATAAGGTGTGTCTTGTTTTATGTCTTTTATACAAGAAAGGTTAAAAGCAACATACTGTTTTGAGTTAATAGTATTTTCATTTTGTATATTTTGTAGCTCTTACGGTGTGTTCACATGCAAGGCTGTTCAATAAAGGAATTGTGAACTATCAGTTTGAGAGACCATCTTTTCAACCAGGGATGCTACAGGGGGTGATGTGCTCCCTCTTATGAACTCCAGTTAGAAGCCGAGCAGCAGCGTTATGGACCAGCTGGAGACGTCTGAGTGAGGACTGGATGACTCCAAGGTAAAGAGCGTTACAGTCATCCAACCGAGAGGTGATGAAGGCATGGATTACTGTTTTTAGCTGCTGCTGTGTGAGGACGGGCTTTACCTTAGCCGGGTGTCTGAGGTGACCAAAACTGGTCTTGAACCACCGCTTCTGGGAATCTAATTTAAAAACAGTTTTCTTTACATGCGGTGCCAGAGGGCCCAGATCAACAGGGCAAGGTTCACAGGAGCCACTAGGACCAAAGACCATCACTTCCTTTTATTTTCATTATGATTTAAAATTAAAATATGTCATGTCATCATGTTAGATGTCACATTATACTTATAATGCTGCCAGTAGAACATGTGGAATTTGCTCAAGACATTTTTAAACAATGTGTTTGTCTAAGCCCCTGATTGTATGATTACATTATATCTTAAATTAAATCTTAATAAGATAGTTTAACAATTATGTAAAAGAGGTGTTGCTGTTAACTTACCAGGTAGATCAGCAGTGGTTGCAGACACAGATGAGACAGGGGGCACAGAGGATGGAGATGGACCTAAGATGAATACAACAACACATTCATTACATTGACTAAATTAATTTATATTGAGTGTAATTCTTATAGCTAAACATTCATTGCATACTGCAAGGTGAGTCTCTTACCTCATGCATTGGCCACAGTTGAGCCTGAGAATGTGGAGCTGTTTCCTCCAAAGAATTTGAACAGTGCTCCTGCAGAATTTCACATAACCTACAAGCTTATGTCAAAATAATGTTTGTTTTTGTCACATGCTCTGCAGAAACATATCTCCAACTCAAGCTTGTGACCCTTCAATAAATCAGTGTAATAGCCATGTAGCCTGATGTAAAAACATTTTGGTAGCAAATGTCAAACATTGTGAAATTTTAATAATTATGAAATGTTAGCAAAAACTTTGTTTTGAACTGAAATATATAGGGTCAACCACGAGAATCAACTCATTTAAAATTAAAAAACAGTTATAAACAAATACAAACACGCTAGCATAAATGTTTAGGTGTTTAACTGGATTGTTCAAGGTCGCTAGCAAGATAATTCTCTATTAACAGTTAACAAATCTTTCTGGTAAACATTACCAAGAGACATGCAAACATTTATCTTGGCTTTTTTCTCTCTTCTTCCTCTTTCTTTTCTCTGCCCCTGAAGGACATGCCCTTTTACAAAAAGGACATTGTTTAGCCTACTTGTCTTCAACAGGTGCTGGAAGTTTGGATTATATGATATCTATGGTTTGGATGCGCACCTCACATTGCACCGCAGGAACCGGAAGTGCTGAAACGTGACCTACTTGGACTTTTTTTTTTCCTGCAGAGATTGATTCTACATGATCACACACACACATATACTCTATATAGGCTTATATATATTGTTGTATAAGAATCACAACTTTATAATGAAATTGTGTGTAATAGGATTATACAGAGGGCAGCACGGTGGCGCAACTGGTAGAGCTGCTGCCTCTCAGCGAGCAGGTCCCTGGTTCAAATCCCGGTCCAGGGCCCTTTCTGGGTGGAGTTTGCATGTTCTCTCCGTGCATGCGTGGGTTTTCTCCGGGTACTCC